ATGTATATGTGTGGGGGGGGGGGAGAGAGAGAAAGAGAGTACATATAAGGAAAGTGTAGTTCTAGAACCATAGATAGCTTTTTCCAATAATAACAGCAGTGTAGAAGTTCAATGCAGGAAAGGCAACTGATACAAAAGGAGATAAATAACAACTTTCTAATTGTACCCTGCTTATATGATGTGGGATTTTTGAGTATGACACATGTATGCTTCTCTTAAATTACAGCCCATTTTAGCTTGGTGTAGCACTGACAATGTAACTGTTATGAGTAATTCTTTATTTTTGTTAAGTTTTATGTGCCTGTGATACCATTGCTTAACTCTGGAAGATATAGTGAAATACTGACAAAATAACAGAACTTTTGGTGATACTTATTGAAATTATTAGTAAAATTATTCCTTTCTTTCAGTCAAATTATCTAGATACCTTTGATAAATACTAAGAGTTGATAGCAACTGGAACAATATACTATATAAGTCCATAGCTAGCTAGCAACATACATACATACATGTAAAAAATATCACGTGCATAAAATAAGTCAACCTAAATAGCAAATTTATTATAGTACTATTGTAATAATATAAAATGCAGACTCAAACATAAGCAGAAATTTAAAAGTCTGAATTTTTAAAAAGTTTATGGGCTGGAACCAGAGTAAGTTACTATAGCAATAAGAGTCTAGCTCCTTTTCCAGCATTATATACTATATTTTGCTACACATTTTTTGAGGGGGAGGGGGGAATAACTTAAAGATGTATACTATTATAAAAAGATACACCGGAATTATAAAAATTGTGAAATAAATAGCTATTTCTACTGTGTAGCAGTTCAAAAGTAGTGAAATGAGTTGTCACTGATATTGCAGAAAGAGTTATCACAGCCTGGATCAGCTCTCTGCTGATGTTAGCTTTTCTCAGACATCCCTGGATCCAAGTAATCCACCAGATGGAGATGGGAAACAAGATGGACTAAATTTACTTAGCGAAGGTAAGGTGAGCAACCTCAAAATTCTGTGTATAATGACTAATTTCCAGGTATACCTAGGGCTATGCAGCTGTGCTACCTATTGCTTGAGAACTGCAAAGCTGCAATTCAAAATTTAAATTCAATTGAATGATAAATATACGTTGCAGCACATGTTTATGTCTTGTAATCTGCTTACGGGTAGGTCTTTTAATCTCTAGTGAGTCTAAACATATAATGATATCATGTATATTGTTGCTGTGAAGTAATATATTTATTCAGGCAGCATTCAGACACAGTATTTGAAAGATGGAACCTCTACTTCTTTCTTACTTTTTGGAATATGGAGTATAAATACATAGTTTTCATAGATAATACAAATCTATGTAAGAGTTCTATCTATCTAATCCTCTTGCTGTCTGTTCAGCTTTGATCTTGGGAGTAAATTGGAGCTCTTCAGCATCTGTCCTGGTATTGACTATAATGGGGGGTCTGAAATTAATATGAAGCTGACATAATATTGAAACAATATTTTCATCAGAGAATATAACTGCTCCATCTTATGGTAACATGTAAAACTGCAGGATGCTTTGTACAACATAACAACATAAAATAAACCTAAATTTCAGTGTAAGTCTGGTATTTTAACTGGACTGGACTGGACTGAAACACCCCTCTTGAATCTGCTGTCTTTCAGACTGCTTGGGATAAAACTGTTGACTTAGACCATGTCTAGAAAGATTGGGATTACAGCTCCAAGATCATCCTGCTTCTGCCTCAATTGTAACTGGTAGGGTGGGAAAGCAGCTCTGGAATAAAGCTGAGGGGCCTTGCTGAGGTTCCATTAGCTAGACAGGCTACGCTAGAAATTCCCCATGACTGAAAATAATTTTGTTTAACTTGTATAGGTTCTTACATACTTTAAATTAATAACTTAATAAATATTTAACTTTTCTAAGCATGTCTGTGTATAGTAGAGCTGGTATTTCATTCAAGGTGTTGGTCTGGAAATACAGAGGCAAAAATAAAAAAAGGATGACAAATTCTGGGGAAATGTTGAAAAATCTGGGCATAGCAATTTCTGGTATTTAAATATGATTTCTTTCTGATTCTGTCATCATGTTGCATGCAAGGGAAATTCCATTAGTTTGTCCCTGCTCATCACCACATGTAGTAGCAGCTTGAGAGAAGGGTGTGAAGTACAGGATGGTATTTTCTTTCCTGAAACAGCTGTGGTTTGGATCTAGAGACGGGAGAACAAATGATCCTGCCCTGAACATCTCACACTTTATGGGTTAATTACTACTATTAAACTAAGAGTTAAAACTTTTTTCAATAGGGAAAGAAGACACTCCTTCATTACTTGGCCTTTGTGGTTCTTTGACTTCAGTTGCAAGTTACAAATCTCTCACAAGCTTGAAATCAAGTGAATATCTTGCAAGTCCTACAACAGAGATAACAAGTCCTGGACTAACACCTTCTTGAACAAATCTAAACAGAAAGAAGCTTCTGTGTCTGCATTCAATTGGCATTCCTAATTTACTGTGAAGACATGTCAACCCAATTAAAAAAAAATTTTTTTTGTTTCTGCCAAATCTAAAAACCTGTGTTTAATAACTGTATTGGAAAACAAACTAGGATATACATCAACTCCATAACAATATTCATGTTTTTCAATTAACAACTTACAGTTAAAACTAAAATCTATAAAGGAAAAATATTCTTAACCACTAGACTCACTCTGCAAAGAAAAGTGATGTTACAATTATAGTGGTTCATTCTAAAAATTCTAAGAAAATATTACACTAGATTTTCATATAAATGTTTTAAATATTTTGCAATGTTTTTGATTCAAATCTATTTTTTGCTATTTATTCTGTAATAAAATTTTAAAACCAGGGCCAAATAGCTATGGTAACAGTAAACTTTATTTAATTTTTGCAGCTTTGAAGTTTCAACTTTGAAGTGCAATTCTATTGGACTTGTTTTCCAGCATTACTGGCAATGGTTGAGTATATTAATACAATCTTGTGTAAAACATTCATACTTACAGGGACCTCTAATTTTGAGGACTATGAGGAAATGCTTTATTGTGCCAAAGAAGTTCTGTACATTGTTTACTAGTGTGCTGCAACATATGGGTATCTACAAGTGCAGAAATTGGACTGTCAGTGTGACTACTACTTATTTAAACAAATGATGTGCCTCCAGTAAGACCTGCTTTGAAAAAATGATTGGGATAAGGAAGCACATGATTACACGAAATCCTGCATTGGTAAGTTTACTGTGTTACATATATGGTGAGCTAAATTTTTAAATGAGACAGCTCCTGCTTCTGTCAAATGACATATACTAGCTACCTGATAAAGTAATTTAATGCATGTTATCTCTTGTGAAATTAATATCTTTTAAGAACATAATGAGAAATGTAACGTAGACTAATGCTAGCAAGCTTGTATGTGAAAACTTTCTTGGTCCAGTATGTTGTTGATCTAGAACAGTAACTTTTTATAATAGTTGATGACTGATTGGAATAGATGGGATGAAAAACTTTAATGTATGTATGAAAAACCAACTGAATCAATACTTGTGCATGAGGAGGGGACTACCTTGAATCTGAAAACTTGCCAAGCTTTCAGAATTAAAAACTAACCAAAATTATGCATATTTGTTGAGTTGTTGTATCAACATTGCAGATACATTAAACATTTTGTACCACTGCTACCTATAGTTGTACTATTTCTTGATGACTGAAATATTGCCCAGGATACATTCAGTAGCTCTAAGCAGTCAAAACCAGAATTGTTGTAACTGATTTCATACCACTGGAACCTAATTGTTCAAGAGAACATGCTCTTTTAAAGCATGGATGTATTTTATCAATAGTTAATATACAAATAGACTAATGCTAGGAACAACAACATAGTTATTCTAACACTGAAGACTTGCATTTTACCTGCAGAAATTTCATTTATATATGGTTGTACATGAAAGCCAATAGGTCACCAGTGCTGCAATACTGACAGCAAAAGAAAATATGCCATTATATTTTCTTGGCTCCCTTAGAGGCTTTCAATATTACTGAATGTATATATTGCTGAATCACATTTTGGACTACAGCTGTCTTCAAACCTTCAACCCTACTGTTACTACCTTTTGGCTGCAAAGTTATGTAAGAGTAAAAATCATTCTGAATGATTTTTTTTCCATACGTCACTTTAATGAGGTTATTTACATACTATTAGTCAACATGGAATTAGTTGTTTTCCCCAAATCTATAAAATGCTACCTGTTTCTTTCCATTCACTTTTTTGTTGCTCTTATATGACACAATTAGCACACAGACTAAAGCAGTGCTGGTTGTACCTTTTAGTACACAAAAGAATCAAGGAGCAGCTTTTAAAGTAACGACAATAATTCATAATCTTTTTTATACCAATGCACTGATACATGGCTAGGATAGTTTCCCTGATTTCAGTTACCAAGTCCATTATAATTACTGTTCAATATAAATTATCCTTACTCTGCATGAGAATGGCCGGAGTAAAAAGTAACAATGTTCCTCTACTAACATTTTGTTCTACCACAATTCAAAGCAATATTTAAATTTTTAAAGTTAAATGAGTAACTTACAGTATGTATAAAATTATTGCACATATTGAGTTAACCTAGTAATATCTTGAAACTGTACTGTTCCAGGAAGCACTGTATACAAGTTACCAAGAAATATTAGGACTGCCAACGGCAAAAAACATCAGTCTGCCAAAGGGAAAAAAAGGTGGCATTACATTGTATTTATATAACCTCTTTTGGGGGAAGTTCAAGACACCTTACATGGATCTCTCCCAAAATATTGCTAAGAGAGAAATGGCTGGATTGAGAGTGTACACAACTCCAAGTACCAAGTGATCTCCATGATTAGGTAGAGACTTGAATCTAAATCTAAGTCCCAGCCCAACACATTAAGCAACCACTAAATTATATTTGAAGCAATCCTGTTTTCCTTTTTTAAAAATGTATCAGAAAAGGTTAAATTTCTAGACAATCCCTTTCATTTAAGATAGGTATCAATATGTAACATATATAGATGTTTTCTTTAAATATTGGGCAGTTCAAATGTAGGTACCAGAGATATTTAGTTCATGCTATTTCTGTGCCCTGTTCAAATACACATATAAATATTGACTAACTAGTATGTAAAACAACTTTCCTTGAATCAGTTAAAAGTTTTCTTCCAAAGCACAAAGATTAATTTGTAAAAATTAAGAATTATTTATGCAGGTAAACATTGCTTTTAAGGCTTATGCTATTCATTTCCTTTTGCAGAATTATATGCTTATTTCAATCTTTTTCTCTCCCATATGTTAATGCAACTTTAATTGGATTAAATGTCTGAAGCATGATAGAGTTTCTTTTTGGATGTAAAACATACAGGGAGTAATTCTGAGCATAGTGTTGGTGGAGGCATGGATGCACATGCAATAAGCATAGAAAGTATGTCGTAAAATACAACTTATATGGACCTTTGTGCATATTGGGTACTGACACCACTTCAATTTTACAGAAACAACATTAATAATTCTTCATATCTCTGTCTTTATTTAATCTACGAAAGAAAGTTTTCCCATATTCATATGTGCTAATCATTATGGCACAAGCAGGAGCAATTTTTGTCAGTCTTGGAATAATACCTGTGAAAAAGAGAAATGATAGATATTGAAAAATGAAGCAGCACAAGAAACTGGATATTGAAAAAACTTCCAAAACAATTTACTCTGTCTATAAAACCACTGCTTGCTTTTTGCATTTCCAAAGTAATATTTAAGATGGATCTGTATGATAACTTAATGCTATATACAAGCTAACAATGTGGTTACTCAATCCTGTATTAAAATGTGCTTGGAAATAAATTCTGTATAGTTGGAATGTTAGTCAAATTTCATTATAGTTTTATTTTGAAGAACTAATATATATTTAAAACTTGTTCCTATTTTTATGAAGATATTTTGCAAAGCAGTTCTATGTATGTTTACACTGAAATACACCCCACAAATTAAGTATAAGATTACATTCTAAATTTTTAAAATGTCTTGCTTTACTATGAATATACATCACAGCTGATCTATGCTCCAGTTCTATAATGATCAACTGATGGAAGATGATTTTTTTTCATGTTTGCAGTTTGAATGTAATTGTATCTATTGCTGTCCATGTATTAATACATATCTGTATAGTTTCTAGAGCATATACCCATCTCATTTTCAATTCACTTTGAACTTGGCAATAAAGGCGTGTCTCTACTTAAATATCCAACTACTATATCACTAAGACAAAATACTAAGTACACCAGATTGTAGTGCTTTGTGTAATATGCAAGCTACTATTTTGGGTGTCTAAACCTATAACCAGTAAGGACTCTGCAAATAATAGACTGCTGCCTTTTGTCAACTACAATTAGGGATATTTAAGTTCTCATCTCTGTATGGCAATGTGAAACATTATCTGCAGTCACTGCTGACGTATGTTATACACAGAGTACAAATGTACATAGAGTGGTAACTATGGCAATTCCCTAATGTTCGCAATCTTTACTTTATGAGATTTATTCATTTTGAGCCATTAACTAGTAGAAAATATTCTAAGCAAGTATCTAGTGGCTTTATGGCAGACCATGAGAAAAAATAATTTGTAATTCAGTTAAGAAATTAACCAGATTCTATGAGAAGTTTAATGGAATTTAATTTCCTTGATTACTACTAAATTAGTTTACACATTCTGGAACATTACAGCCTAGCATAACCTAATTTTTTGTCAATTAACCGCCTTTGATTCCACTTCAGGCTCATATATGGATTTTGAAACATATGGCTATATTAATATGTCAAATTTGTTTTTGTTCTACTTGTTTAAATATTTAATATAGCCTTTTCTTATATGGCCCTTTACAGTCTATCATTGAAGAGGGTAATTAAATGTTCCCAGACTAATTTATCAAGTCTTTCCCTACTGAAGTGACTGGGAGATATTTATTCTTTTGTTTTGTTTTCGAAGTTGGCAAAATAGTTGGTAGGGAAATCTTGCAATGCAGTAAAAGATCTCTTAGATCCTGTAGTAGAAAGTTTGATATTGCTGTATGCATAATATCTAGAAATAGAGTATTTTACAATCAACAAACACGAATTTACCAGTAAATAATCCAGTAAATCCATTTTCAACTACAATTCTCTTCATTACTTCCCATACTGATCCATTTCTCTTCTGTGGAGCTGAGTAAAAGAAAATACATCTCATTTTTCTACACTTATTTAATATGATTTAATGTCAACTGTATTTGTTTTATCCACTGTATGATAATCATATTAATCATGAGAGACAATTTTCAGATGAGATGTAGTCAGAATCCATTCTGAACATTTAATGTTTTATAATTGTAAGCTAGTTTTTAATAAGCTAAGATTACTAAAATAAGCCCACTTGAAATGACACGTATAAGAACACTGCATAAGCAGTCAGTAGTCATGGGCTATATTAACCTTTAGAAATAAATTTCGCACAGTATTTGTAACAAAATCAGTGTGGTTTCTATCCTACAGTTGTATGTTATAAACTGCAGAAACTTACATAAGCCCCTTCATGTGGTTTTAGGAATACAGGTAGTCCTCGTTTAACAACTACAATAGGGACAGGAAAATTCGTTAAGCGGGT